CATAAATTATTTAGTCTAAGGAAAAATGAATACTTTCAAAAAGAGTAACAGAAAAAAAACTTTCCTGTTAAGGACACTGTGAAGGTAAGTACTTTTTATCGTAATTTGTTTTTACAGTACACTATATCAGTAAAACTTTTGCAATTACTAAATTGCTTGTGAATTTCTTTTATAAATTTAAAATAAATTGATATTAATTCATATCAAACTATTAGCAATCTAATCACGTCTCATATCCAAAAAGAAGGAAAGAAAACACTTCTTTTTATGTTTTTGCATATTTTTACCTATTTTTCTATAACAACTTCAATTGAATTTAAAGCAATGCCCATGCGAAGTTTCACTAATAAAAATATTCTTTGAAAATATAAAGTAATAGTTTCTAAAAGAAAGCTAAGTCCCACATTTGAATAAGAAAATATGCAAATATTTATTCTAGAAATAAAAAAGAAATTTATTATATAAAAATGTGTTTATGTAATAAACTGATTTGTGTTAGGAAATCCTTAGGAAGATTCACTGCAAATATCCCCGGAGCGACATTCAGATTAAGTTTATAGCTTGAGTTCCTTGTCTGGCATGCTTTTTCCGATGAAAAATGCATTTTATGAGATTTGAAGTGAGTGGTTTTTGTTTTTACAAAAACAAACAAGTAGAGAGTTGAAATTTTACTTGCAATTTTCAAGTAAACATATTTATCACGTAAAGTGTATGTAAAATTCTAAAAATAGTTTTGTAAAGCTATAGAAGGGGAAATATTTCATATTCGAATATGATCACCTGAAGCTTTTTCCATAAAAATGAAGAATAGCAAAGAAATTTTGTATGAAAACTTGAAGGTTCTGCAAAGTATTAAACCTAATAACTCTTTGAGATAGCCATGTTTCTATATTAAATATTCCAAACTTTGCCGAGAGGCAATTAGATAAAGAAAATTATACATACAATAACATGTAACATTATTACATTACAACGATGTAATGCGTAGCAGATTTGTCATTTTAAATTAATTTTTTTCAGAATGCATTTAAAACAAAAGCTTTAATTTGTCCAATTCAGTTTTTTTAGATAACTTAATTTAAATATTTTTTTTATAATAACTATTAAATTTGAAACAAATACAATCCGGTAGCTTAGGTTACAAGTTAAAAAACAAAACTTTAGGTAAAAATATTACGAGTCATTATTTTTTGTGTAAACTCTTCTCATGTTTTATTTTTAATAATTTAATGTTATGTTTTTGAATTCTAACAAGTTTTGAATCTATAAACAATTTATGCACTATCTCAATATCGTATTTTTGAAAATAATATTGTTATATGCTAAAAAATAACAATAGGGATTTTTTTGCTTTCTGTTCCATGAAAAATTTGGCAGATCGATACCCCAGTATCGCTGATTTTAAATAAAAATTAGCTTTTATCTACAAGCTGCAGATCTTTTTAAATTACATATTTAGTTTATTTTTTGTCGAAATTTGTTGGTTTAGAAACGCTAAGTATAACGTTGGGGCCGAAAATGTTTTGACAAACTTCTAGGAGAGTTAAGGCACAACATCAAGATTAAAATTGACTTGGAATCCATACCCGGCAATGTGGTCATGCGCCGCTAGGGGCGCTTCGTTATTTGTTTGCTTCTGAACTGGTTATATACGTGAAACATCGTTAGCCGAGGGCGAAGATATAATATGGCTTTCTATGCAATTTTAATCTTGATGATGAGCCTTAACTGCTCTATAAATCGCAGAATTTATGCCACCCCATTATATATAACGTTTTTCAACTTGTACATGAATAAAGATGGACTAAAATGTCATTTAATTAAATCTGTAACTTTAGGAACATAGTTTATTCCAGATTTGGAATCCTCACCCACAAGTTATATAATATGAATCATTTTTTAAATGCAAAAAAAATTGTATTCCAGTGCAATTTTCCAAATTATTTGGGTATGTTGAACTACCGTTTATCGTGGACTTATTGATAGGTCCATCGTTGTCCATCAGTGATATTCGACTATTCAGGAGGTTCGACTATTTTTATTTTTTCGTTTTAATGGATTTTTTTTAACTTGTGGGACTGCTGGTAAACACTAATTAATAATGCAACAAAAAAAAAACGCTTTTATGTTAATATTTAAGTTAAGAATGTAAAGCGTATTGTTAATATCATGCTTCAATAATGCTTAATATCAATAGTCTCAACCCTTTCGCGACGAATTTTTATTTTTACAACAGAACAATTTTGATAGCATAAACTATGAGTAGGGCAGCATTATGTACGGTAGTGCCATCTACATTCTGTGAATGAAAGTACCTTCAAAAATATTGGTAGGACTAGTGGGAAAGTCTTCCATTTGACAGAGAAGCGTTTCTGTCCCAAAAGATTTTATTTGAAATTTGCTTAGGACTTATGTGTCCCGTTAGGCGCGAAAGGGTTAAAGCCCATTCTTTCTACTGCTTCACTTCAAATGTCAAATTGATTTAAGAAACATTCTCTCTATTTTTTTCTTCAAATTTACGTTTTTTAAAGTGCTTCTGAAGCTTTAAAAATGTACAATTTTTATAAAGTTTCCTTCGATTTTTTGAAGTTTTCTTTTCCAAACATTTTATGTAGTTTGAATCATAATACTTAAAGTACCTTACAACTTTTTTTCACGCTACAGATTCGCTTTTAACTTTTAAGATATCATGCATGGTTTCATTGATCCATGTCTTTGTACAGTATATCTTTTTCACCAGTGAGAATGCAACACACCGTACAGTATTGAATGATGCTTCACGACTCACTTATTTAATATTTATTTCTTGGAAAGTGTCAAAAGTTGACTGTTCAAACCAGAATAAGTCGTCCATTTAAATATTTGGAATATAGAAACATTATTTTCTATTTATTTGATTGATTTAATACCTTCACGATCAAAACCCACGACAATATATGTAGATTTAATGTATGAAAAAAATATGGTGCTAATTATCCAATTATTTTTATAATGGATTTATAAAAATTGAAGAATAATGCAGTATTAAGAAATGCGGAATTATATTGTATAAAACTTATATGTCACCTCATATCCAAATTTCCATTATTTCATATAATTTATTATTGGCGTAATTTTTTTAAGATATTATCTCACACTGAGTAATAGGAAATAAAGTATATTTTAAAATTTTGTAAGAAACCATATCTCCAATAAAATACTTCATAATTCAAGAACAATCAATATGGTATATAACATTCAACTGAAGGGTATTATTTTAAAATTTAACATTCTGGTTGCTTGTCACTACTTTTATTGCTGCTTCTATTGCATAGCGTGAAAATATTACATACATGTTCCGTTATAATCAAGAATAGAATTTTAGATGGTTTATTGCATATGCGGTTATATGGCTTATTGCATATATGATGGAAGTTATTGCATACCGAAAAGTTAATAAAAGAAACTACGACTATTACTAAACTACTGCCATTAAGTAAACAAAACACAGTATTATTTTTTTCATGATTACCATTAATATTTTCTTTACGTTCAAAACTAAAAAAAGGGCAAATTTAACGCGCTAAACATTTTTCGTGTTTTTTGCTATTTTAACTATTCCTAACAATCCTAAATTTAAGTACGGGACAAGAAAATTTTTCTAACCATGATTCAAGCTCTCTATCGATAAAATCACTTTTCAGATGTTTGTCTTGTTGTTGACGTATGCCTGTTTAGGCAGAGGGGGTGCGATTGTTCTTGTTTTCCAGTGGCGCCATCCATGGCCAAGAATTCGACTTCTGCCACACCATATGTCACACCCGTTTATAGGACGGACCCATTCATACATCCATTCATTCATCCACAGATCGTAATTTTGACCTGAATCAGAGAACGATCGATCTCCAATCCAGTACCCCCAGAGGTACTAATTTGTTATGGGAACATGGAGGACTGATTTAACGACAGATTAACTCGACAGATTTAACGTGCATCAGTCACTTACTACACGGGGAGTCTTCGGCCGGCCGGGTTCGAACCCACGAACTCTCGGACATGGGTCCAGAGCCCTACCGACCAGGCTATACCGGCCTGTTTGTCTTGTTACTTCTATATAGTAATTTGGTGTTTGAGGAGGTTCTATCTATAAAACCAAAACTATAGAACGTCCATTTCTGACCCCTTATATGTGCCTTATTCACTTCACTTTTGATTTATTCTACATAACACAAAGTATATATTTCCTCTTTTTTATGTATATGTATTGTTGAGCGTGTATTGTTAAGTGGAATGCTTCGTCTTAAACAGAATGGAGAAGATACATGAAACTCTTCTCTCGCTGCAATCATGAAACAAAAATCTAGAAACAAATGTTTTCTAACTGAAACTTTTTTAACATCTGAAATCTCTGTAATTATGGTTAGTGTTTCATATTATTTTCTATGAAGTAAGTCACACAGAAGAAAAAATACTCATGAGACGTCAATACCGGGCTTTCAAAAATATACTCAATTTTATTGATTTTTATTCTCTTTAGTTCTTGCCACATTTCACAAGCAGCTTGGACACCTTTCAAAATTATCTTGCACATCATCGAAACTTTAAGGTAACCAAGTCAACTGCACACTAAGACTGTATTTAAATATTCTAATTATTCAACTTTTTCTCCAATCCTAACACCTTAAAAAGCTTTAAACATTATGTTATCCAGTCATTTTCTCCGTCTTGCGCTCGTGGAAGTACTTTGATTTCAATATTAACTTTTTTCAAGAGATGTCAGCGATATTGAGAAAGTACTTCAGGTATTAAAGTTTAATAATAATTTAAAATCTTCCCAACAGCAATTCAAATACGTAAATCACCGTACGTATGAATTCGGGGCATTTCAGCAGAGTTGACAGCAGAAGTATTAAATTTATTTTCATCTCTGTCATGATATAGGATATAAAAAAAACTCATCCCTATGTGCTGTACTACTTCCTCACGCACCCCTCGAGACATAACTTGAGTATCGCGTAATATATATATATATATATGTATATGAGCATTTTCTTTCCTATTACTAAAAATTTGGTTTCTCAGATAATAATAGTTACCTTTATGATTTTATAACCTTTTTCTACTGCCTTCTTCACTTCTTCTGATACCCAAGTACCAATCAATGATCTTTGATTTTCGTCGTGAGTGCATGGAGTCTTTTGGCTAGATTCACAGCAGGATCTACACAACGGGAACATTAACTTCCCTTGATTCCGATAAGGTAGTACAGGATGATACAATCCATGTGGTGGGAGAATTTTACACTTTATGAAACCAAAATAATTGTTAACGTCATCAAAATTATCCGTGATTATCGCTGGGTGACCAATGGGATATCTGCAACAGATAAATTATAAGCACAAAAAAAAAAACAACTAAGAATAAAGAAGAGGATATTAAAAAAAGGCTTTTGGGCTTACCTGCAATATTTATTGCACCATGGATATAGACTTGTAAAATCTATATATTTAGCACTTCCCTCGTATACAAGTTTAACTGCGTTGGTGCGACCACCAAAGAAAGCATCGCGGGGGTTAAGTCGATCAACAATTTCGTGATCTTCCAAAAAGGTTTTTAATTCTGAATTTTTCACCTTCAAATCATTAAAGTCGTGCTCCCATATTTCCTGCAAAGTATATCCTTTTTTTTTCAGTCGATCCGATATTATATTTGTTTGAGTCCTAAGCTTATTCATCGTCTCTCCAGACACAGGATTGACAGCATCGGGATCAAAACATTTCTCGCATCCGTGGTAAAAACAGCCCTGTTGATAAAGAAAAAAAATATTTGTTTAAAATCTATATTCTAATATTTCCTTAAAACATTTAATAAATGAGATCAAAGTTTAAACAAAAATAAATACTTACGTGATACTGATATATAGTATTAGTTTCAGCGCAAAAACCGTCTACCTTCAATCCATCTATAATCACTTCCCCTCGACCATTCAATGCGTGGCTAATATGTCGTCCTTCGGAAACAGAAATGAAATCTAACCATCGTATACTGTCCCGGCTATAGTTGTCACTTGCGTATCCATGAACTGGGACCATGGCGATCGTCTTCGGTGTAATATGTTGACTCCTAAAGCATGCCATACACGAAGCAGCAATTGTTACGTAGCTGNTATATATATATATATATATAAATGACAATGTGTGCCACTATGACACCGTTTATGTTTAAAGTTCCTATAGCCATTTTAATGCAAAAATATTCTAAACAAATACTTAAAGTAAAACTATCTATTCAACACTACTTAAATTATTGCTTACAGCAACCTAACCAAAATAATCTAAATAAATATTTAACGGGTTACTATTTTTTTAAATATTATTTAAGTTATAGCTTAGGATATCGTAGGAAAATGAATAATAGGTAGACTGTTGCCAACGGATAAAGAAAAACCCGAGTTTTTGGTGACACATAAGAGAAATATGTATATTGATTACGTATAAATTCTAAACTTTTTGCCCGATTGACTCTGTTTTGATTTCATTCGATTCACGAAAGAAAAATAAAATGGGGATGATATCTCTCTTTGTTTAGATAGCAATATTTAAGTTTCTTTCACTTTTCCCTCCAGCTATTACCCAACAGCTGAAGTCACTCGATTTTATTCTATTTAATAAAAGAAGGTACGTAACAGTTCACCCTTTTTTGACATTTTTCGTCTGATTTTCTGGATACGTTTTTATGTATTATTAAGAACTTGAAAATTCTTTTAAACAATTACGAAAATTAAAATTTGAAAATCAATATAATTAAAAATACAGTCATTTAAAAAGTTCTTGCCTATTACGTGATTAAAAACATCATTCGCTTCAAAAACTTACAACTCAGAAATAACAGTCGGCCTATTTCGAGAACTCAAAAATAGGCACCCATTGTCAAGACTTGTCAAATGTGAATGAGAAGAAACAAAAATGACTTGAAATAAAACGCAAAGCTGTTAACAACATTTTTTTTTCACTCTCTCTCGGCTATTATGGTTTCTTCAAGTTTTGTTTCTCACCTTTGTTTTTCTATTTTTCGTTGGCAACTTAACGTTCTCATTTCAAATCACTATTGTTTCTTCTCATTGAAGTCCGACAAAAGTCTTGAAAATGGGCGCCTATTTTTGAGCGCTTAAACATGTCGACTGTTATTTCCTATTTGTAATTTTTTGAAGCGAATCTTCTCCCATTTCAGTTTTTTTGGGATTATTTATTAAAATGAGTTTTTACCTGTTATACTTTCGACAAGATAATCGTGAGATTGTATATTTAAAAAGAAATACTATAGATTAAAATATATTGATTACATACTTTTAATTTATAGCATAAATTTAATTTTATCTCTCATAAAACAACTAAAACTTGTTTACAAATTAGTTGAATTCAGAGAAATAATTTTATTCAATGATGTGATTCACTCCAACCATGCATTAAAATTAATAACAGTTTCTGGTAAATGCAAATTACGTTATTAGATGTTAATCTCACTATTTAATTACTTTTATTGCTGTCAGGAAATGCAGTAACTAATTTTGAATTACAGTTTTACGCGTCATCTGTTCTGTATCCACTTTCTACGCAAGTCAATGTTGATTGCCCGAATACGATGTCAGGAAAGAATTCTAACTATACAATTTCATTTGACATAACATCTCTCTAGATGTAATTTAAATGTAGGAAATCTAGTTATTGTGTTAAGAGTGTATTATTGTGTTAAGAAATGTAGTTATTGTGTTTCACGTATTTCGTAGAAAGATAGTTTTAAGTAATAAAATATTGTAAAATATATAATATTATTGCAAAACGTTTTAATAATGAAGGTACAAAAGTTTATAAAATTAATTTTAAAAAAATTTAGAAATAAATTACCAATAAGCGTTCTCAGCTATGATAGGGGAGAATGAGATCAATTGTAACAGGGTACGATTGTAACAGAGCAAAAATTTCGAGTGTCGGGTTCTAGATTTGGTTCCTAGGTGGCGCACAAGGTGTATCGAACTTGATACACCTTGTATTCACTTTAATAAATCTACGTGTACACCCCTGCTGGCAACCATTTTTATGTACTTTTGAAAGAGTTACATCTCTAAAGATATTTCCACGCTACGTAAGTACTTTTTTTGGTATTAGAATATTATATATTGTAACAAAGTAATTTTGTTTAAACAAATAAAAATTAGTAACCGAATATGTAAGTGGACACCTTAATTAACATTTAAAAAAAAAGATTAGTTTTGTTAATTAACTAGCATTGATTTTAACAAATGAAGCTGAAATGGCGTCTTGGGGACGATTGTAATAGTAAGTAAAGGGACGATTGTAACAGCTGAAAATAAATAATCTTATGTTTACAAATCATTTCTGAACTCTTTAAGAACCACCAATAGTTTCTTATATCATTTATATTATGTTGCATGTGCATTATTTTATTTGTCACCTTTCACAGCATAAATTAAAATTTTTACCCCCTTAAAGTTAAAAGTTTAACCCTTTAGGTCTCTTCTCCTTATTATTTTTACTCCTAAAATATCACTACTATTTTGATCAATAAAAAAAATACATCACAACTATGATAATATGTATAATTAACTATGTTTTAGTTGAATTTATGAACTGTTACAATTGACCCCGTAAGTGGGGACAATTGTAACAAGTGCACGACTGTCAAAAATTGTTAATAACTAATATAATAACATTTAAAATAAGGTATTTATTTTTTTTTTCTAGTAGAGGATAGTCTACTTTACTCGTCTGTCAATTAATACTAATAATATATTGGATTTTTTGTTAGTTAAAAATGGTTAAGTAAAAAATGTTACATTTGACCCCACTCTTCCCTACCGCTTTTCGTTGCAATGATTATTCAAATAATCTTTTTCTACGTCGACTTTACTTTCTCTGATAATTACTGTCAACAATTGCATTAAAATACGTTGCATTTCCAAAAAAAGCTGTTTTATCGCAGTTTAATGTTTTAGAAAACAATGTTTAGCCTACTGTTTCAAGCTATTTCTGGGAAACAAGCTTTTTCTGGTCCTGTTTAAATGCAATTTTCTTTAATATTGAAAAAAAAGGATAAAGTTAACATAAATTTTAAATGATTTAGATAAATAGAAAAACAGTTTTAAATGCTCATGAACAGCCAAACTTGTAACAGACAGGCGCTACTAACTGCGTTTGATGGCATTTAACTTAGATGGTTAGTTGGGTTGCGAATTAATTCTCAATTCCTGTGATGTGTCTTTACCTCTTCTTTGTTTAAGATCCCGCTGTACTGAAACTCCAGGTATTTACGTTTCATTTAACAAATTAGTATATTCATGGTTCTTCATTTTATCAATTATCGATGTAAACATTACTTAATAAATAGATCATAGCAACTGTTTAATAATAAGTTTGAATTAAGTAATAGTTTTTGAAGTAAAATAATTATTTCATACATAATTCGATCTGAAAAAGATAGTTATTCTAGTTCAAAATGCAAATTTTCTTTAGAAAAAAACAAACTTTCCAAAGAATATTAAACAGTTGAATTCTAGAATATATTAACTAACTTGCAATTGAATTTTAAGAAAGATAGCAAGATAATGTAAACTTTCAGTCCAAGTTCCTTCCCAATACTTGAAATTCGATTTGAATAAGCATTGTTATGTGATATTCTTATTAGACATTGTAAATTACGTAAATTTGAGGCATGCATCTCAATAAACGAAAATATCCGATTATGCTTTGCTGTTATTGATGCAAAATGCATATCGGTAATTTCAAATTATGTTTGTAGGAAACTAATACATTATGCATGATATATATGCTAAGAGAATTTATTTCTAATAAAAATCGATTTTTGAACAGAATTCTTACAAAGTAAAGACATTGCATGAATTTTATAGTTGCATTATTCTCTTGCATTTTTTTTAGAAAAAAAACCGATCCGGAATTTTTAGAGAATTAAAAACTGCGTTTTTCATTTCGTTTGATAGGCAATGCTTCTGTGATATTCAGTGATATTATCATTTTCTAGACAATTCTATTTAACTTTTATTGAATTAAACAATACTGTTACATGAATGATGTGTTAATCGTAAAAATACCATTGATAAATTTTCAAAATTATATAAGGTATCCAAAAATATTTAGAATCCAATATTTAAACAATGCATTTGTAAAAATTTGCAAACACCCTTCCTTACAATTGTAATAAGCTTAAGTATATTTTCTAAGCAAATTAATGCATCTGTTTTTATTTTACTATTATGGACAACTGTATTCTTCGAAAACTATCTTTCAATATTCTTAAGAGCTGTGCAGAATCGGTATATAACTAAACGAAATAGATACAGTTCTAGATTTAAAAGTAAGTTAAAGTGGAAAAAAATTACTATATTCGATTATTTTGAAGTATATCAAAAGATTTGGAGATTTCCTTCTTGTACCTCTCATTGGTGTTTAACTACTGTTCATTAATCAATCAATAATTATCTTACTGAGAGAAAAAGTATGGTCAAAACGATCAGAATATGATAAAATTTAGCTTGTTTCTGGCAGTAGGGGAACACCGAAAAAAACGTTAAGTTTTACTGAAGCTCTATGTCAATATTTGTAGTAAAATTAACTATAAAAAGTTATTTTATTACAATTCTGTTTGGTAGTAAATGTTAAGAAATTTGGTAATTTTATCATGATTCCGTACACTCTAAAAACTGTACCTCTGATTTCAGAGGCACATTTGAATCATTTGTGCCTCTGAATTTTAAGGGCACAACGTACCTTTAAAAATGAAAGGCACAATGTAAATCTGATTTCAGAGGCACATTTGGATCGTTTGTGCCTCTGAATTTTAAGGGCACACCGTATCTTTAAAAATGAAAGGCACAATGTGCCTCTGATTTCAGAGGCAAAATCAGATGTACCTCTTAACTTGGAAGGTACATTGTACCTTAGATTTTGCTTTTATGTACCGCTCATTGAAACAAGCATTTAGTGGTACCAAAACCTGTNATGGAAAAACCATTTCATCGCTAAAATTTACTTTTCAGCATTGTGTTTACACTAAATTTGCGATAAGAATTATTTTTACGGTAAACCGTTACCATACAAATGGAAAAACTACCAAATAAGTGGTTTAAGTACCAT